AGTCAACATATTCCCCCTCCTGAGCGATGGGTATCTGGAGCTCCTTCAGAGTAACTCTGGGCCTCTTGGTTGCTCCTATTGCTATCAATGCAGCCCTGAGGGCCTGGCAGTACTACTGCATTGATACGAAAAATAAGAGGATTTTTAAGGATTCTTATAATCATGGAAAAAATTATGACTGATTTCTGGTTCCAAAGGTATTCTGACTGGTCTAATATTTTTTTTCTATGGTTTTATTCTGTCCATATCAAATAAAGGGGGTAAATACAAATGCACTTTGTATTTTGTTTTGATTTTCACTTTTAAAAACATTTGATGTCTATGTTTCATCTTCTTTCTTTGTATTTATGCACTACTTTGGGTACGTCTTTCATATAAAATCCAAGAAATATACGATAAAGTTGCCAAGTTGAAAGAATGTTAAAGTTTTTTTCTTTTTGTACAACACGCATCACAATACTTCCTATCTTCATCAAGCTTCATTCCAACAAAAGGATGATATTACTTTTTGCCTTTTCTACATTTAGATCCTTAATATAAAACACTGAAGTAAAGAGGAAGGATTGGCACAAATTCTGTTTACATTTCCTGCTCTTATACAGGCACCTGTTATGTCATGGCAACACTATTTGGATAGCAACAGCAATATGTATACTTGCTTATGCACCCAAGGCAGTTAATGAGAGGCTCCAGTCAGATTCAGGCTTCACACTCTCCCTCTATTCTATAAAGCCAGTACATTTCCACTCACTCTGTTTCCACGCTTTATGGATCTATTCTGCCATAAACCATAAAGTAACACTTTTACTAGAGCTATAGAATATATTTTGTAGCATTTGTCCATCTTCTGTTCAGCAATTCAGTTTATTTTATTGCTTTTGAGGAATAGAAAAAAATTGCTGCTTTTTTTTCTAAGCCCTGTTCATCTTAGGTTTGACACAGAGTGCTTTGGCACATCTAGTAGTTAATGTGAAAGTGTGTGTTTTTGCTGGCCCACCCTCTAGTTTGTCTGTCTGACAAGAACCCCCCCTTCTAATTTCCCAGGAACAGCATAAGAGAGAAAGTGAAGAATTCCAAGCATACCTGCACTTCCCCCTTCTAATTGAGTGCGAGTGGTATCTTTACGGGGCTCATCAGAGCAACAGAAAAGGAGCTACGATTACAAGGTCTTGACTGTTGTCTTAAGTTCCCTGAGCTCAACTTCAAAATAACTGTTAGTGTCATAATTTTTAAGATTAAAACAAGATAAATCTAAATACATTCACTTGCAAATTCATTAAACATTTTTATATATTTATTGTGTTTTTACAAAAACTAGATCAAACATTGCATACTGTTTTTATCTGACATAGAAACTAGAGAATACATGCAAAATTAATTAATTTCTATTTGTTCAAAAATCTTTACAGTACCGTTAGGGTTTGTTTTGTCCTTTTATTGCAATTTGTTTAAGGTATTCATACAGTTTTCAGCTATAGAGACTCACATTTGTGTTTATTCCTCTTTGAAAAATTACGCAGGTTTATTTAGCTTTCCATCTGGATAGTTAACCTCATCACAATTCTGCATCCTCAAGTACTTTTGCATTTTTCATCAAGGTTTTTGTTGATTTAACTTCTTAAATTTTTTCCCACAGCATGTAGACTGCATCACAATGCTTTACTGTACAGATGGTGCATTAATGCATGATACATAATATTAGCCCTACTCCTCCTTGAAACAATGCGTTTGTTTATACAGTAATAATTGGATACTCTTTTTAAAGTTTTTAACACCTTTAACTTAAGTTAGGTTTGCTAGATACAATCCTAGAATATTTGAGGCTATACTATTAAAAAGTTTAAGGTGTATGGATAATTTGGTAATGCTTCATACTGAAGGAAAGCACTCATCATACTTTAATAACTAGATGATGGGAAAGTTAATGTCCTTACTTGTGCACTGACATGGGATTTGAGTCAACAACATCCAGTTACTGCTTTGAGGATCTATGTCTCACTATGCCTGCAGAGCATATATTTGCTGATTATTCTGAATAACGGGGAGAAAACCAGCTCACAGATTAATGCACAACAGCTGTCTTTTTGTTTCTAGTTGCTTTAAATTAAGCTTTTTTTTTCTTCCAGTAAATGTCATTACTTTGGCTTTAACTAACCCTGCATCCTGGGAACCCAGAGGGAGTCATGAATCTCTTAACCACACAGCTTGAAATCAAAGGGTGATACAAAAAAATCCAACAAAGAATACATTAATTATCTGCCTTTACTCAAAAGATATCAACCTTGTTTAAACTTGCTACCATTCTGCTCAGAGCGCCAGCAGGAAGACCATCAAAAAAAAAAGCGCACAGATGAGCCAGAACCTCAGCCAATGAGGACAGGAGTTCTAAAGTTAGACGATGTGTGTCTGCATCAGCATAAGTCAATATTCACCAAAGCACTCAGGCAAATAAACACACAGTGACTGAGGCGTCTTTTGCGGGATTGTAAACAAGCATTAAACAGACTCATTATGACATGAGGAAGTGTTCAGAGAAAACTGATCATATTTCTGCAAAAAAATATTACAAAAATACAAAACACTGATACATGACTAAGTTGGTGTCTCATAAGTAGTTCTCTAGAAGGGATTATGTAACTGGAAAATTACCCCATATCGCTCACAGCATGGATACTGTTAAAACTCACTGATTCTATTTGGCTAATTCAGTTTTCTTAAGTAAAACCTCTGAGTCAGCTGCCACAGTAACTGGTAGTATGACTCAAATTAACAAACAGCACAGTGTTAATAAGAATCACATAAAATGCATGCTCCAGTATTCCAAAAATATACCTTCTGATGGAATTTAAATTTTACATTATTCTTCTTACTTCACAACAATTAAAACAAACTCCTTTTAAATTGAAATCATTAAATTCATTTGGCGGTATGGCCATAAACTTCTCCATATTGTTTAGAAAATACAACATTAATTTGAAGGGTATGCAAGCAGATACAGATGTAAATGTAAAAATTGGTTGCTTAAAATGTAATTTTCCACATATTAAACGTTTAAGAGTGGGCATGAAGTGAACCGACAATATTTTAAATTAAAGTAAAAATGTAATAATCTTGGTTGTTCTAGAAATACAAATGCAGTTGGTGTGTTGTGCCATGTAGGAACTTAAAGAAAAACTGGATGCATTAATATGAAAAAAGAGAGATACCTTCATGCTCTAAGTTCAAAATACTCACCTACTTAATAATGGACGGATGGAAAAATCTTTAATGTTGAGGAGCAGTGTAATCATGTAATCAAACTTAGTTTACTCAATTGTTTCTTCATTGTAACACTGCCTCTTTTGTGTCTTTTTATGCAAAACCAAAAGTATTTACTTTCCCTTAAATGGTTCCATATTTGTTGGAGAAATTAATTTGTAGGTGAAGCAGCAGAGTAGATGTTAGGGGTTTTTGCCCATAAAAAAACAAAAACTTTTTGAATCTCCTCTGCCAAGACCAAATCGCTTATTATACCAATGGTTGCAGTTTGGAGCAGACAAATTATTGGAAAGAAAATCACAATACTATTTGTCCAAGTGAAATCTCTCCCCTAAAGCACATTTGAGTTCTTATAAAACTGTCTGGTCAAATAAGTGTAAGCTGTTGTTTTGGCACTCTGTATCCATGTTTAAGACCAATGATTGTTCTTGCATGGATATTTTTTTGGAGCAAGAAAATTCTTACAAACCTAACCAATAAAAATGTAGGACATGACCTTAATAGTGAGGTGTTATTAAATATACCCAAGTCCTAAACAAAGCATACAAATAGCCTCCCTATTCACAGCAACTTGCAGGAGGCAACAAACTTTTATTTACAACACATGCAATAGTAAACTTCCAGATAGCTTCTCTTTATTAATTAGGGCTTCAAAACTTCCCAATTCTACTGGTGACCTACATGTATATGTATTATCGCAATCATAGTAACATATCATACAAATCTGTATATTCAAGTAGTTGTAGAAATTTGGGAAATAATTCAAATGCTTAAAAGATCCAAAAAGACAAACTAACATATGCTGGTGTGAAGTTGGTTTCATTGTCCTATATTGTTACTGACAATACCAAAGTGTGTTTAATTAATTACTCTATCAGAATTAAAATCTTCCCAAAACCAAAAATGAACATAATTACCCTCACTGTGTCAAAAAAAGTGACTGTGGCCAAATTGGTTGAGCCAAAGTCTTAAGACTTGTAGTTTGTAGATTTGATTCCATCGTTTGCCTGTTAAATATGGATAATCCCCTGGGCAAAGGAGTACGTTTATGATTGTGATTAGAAGGGTGTCAAAAGCAGATTGAGATGTTAATGGGGCTCAATACGGTGCAAGCAAATAAAGTACTACATAAATTATGGCCATTAAGTCCTCAGTCAGTAATACTAAACATATCATTTAGACAAAAACACTTCTCAGACCAAAATGTCCTAAAACACAAAAAGCTGCATTCTATGAATGTGTAGCAACACATGTTTGCATATTATGGTAAATGGCCTGTACTTATAAAGCACTTTTTCAATCAGGAGACTTGACCAAAATGCTTTACACTACACTGCACACAGTGATGGTGGCAAGCTATATTGTAGCCACAGATGCCCTGGGGCTCACTGACAGAAATGAGGCACTCGCGCCACCGGGCTGGTGCAGGGGAAGTTTGTTGCTCAAGGAAACAATGACACTGAAAGCCGGAGCTCGAATGGACAACCCTCCGATTGCATGGCAAACTCCTGCACCTGACGCCACAGTCGCCACGTACATTATTCATCAAAATGCTTAAGAATTTTTAAATATTTGGTTATGATTACTGCAGCAAAAGCTTATTCAATCAAATCTAATAAAAAAAAAGAAAGATGGAATTGTAGTGTTGAAACATAGCTTCAATTATTTTATTACAGATTTCAATAACAGTTTACTATGTGTTTTTAAAAAAATCCCTTTCATTGAATATTTACATATCTCACCTGTTCATGTTTTGTGAGGCGTGTCTTATTGTGGATGTCAGAAGAGACTAGGTTAAAATTATGTTTCTCTGCCAACAGCCTCAGTAAAATCACCACTGTTCGGCTGCCGCACTTCCCCACGCGGTTATACACCACCTGGCTGGGAAACGGGAGTACCTGTAGATACACATAGAAAAAAAGACAAACATAAAGACTGAGACTAAGAAAATACACAATCAAAATCACATTTAATGTATGCACTGGAAATTGTTTTGAGTAATCTTCCATTTAGAAAAAAAGCTGCTGATTCAAAAAGAGTTGAATGAGTCATATGTTACTGACTTTTCAACACAGTCAGTTTTCTTATTCACATGGCTTATTACCGTTTTTAAACTGAGTATGAAGATACACTGGAAGTGAAACTGACAACTCTACGTTACTCACACACACAGCCAGTATAACACCCATCATGACTCACCAGTTAAACATAAGATATATTATAAGATATTTATAAATTAAAAAAGGTGTTTAGTTCTGCTTTAAAGAAGAAATATGTACATGTCGAACATGACAGTCTAGCTCAAATGCACAAATCAACACAAAATAAATACAAATAAATATAGAAAAAGTCCTGCAGGTTTTTAATAGTAGTTTACCTTATAAATACATTCCCAAGGCTTTTTAACAATTGTTGAGGACAAAGTGGGACAGAGATTTCTAAAATAATTTTTTGAAGTATAGGAGTTTTACAAAAGTTAGAGCAGCCACTAATATACCATTTTTAAAACTCTGATAAAGTTTAAATCCTAACCACCCCAGTCATGAAATATTCAGTGACTAAAACATTTTAGTTTCTACAATCACGTCAGAGACCTGGCTTATCAGATGACTTATGCACAACATACTCATGAAACTAAGCACTTTTTTAGCACATATTTCATGTCTTTCAATGACAGAATTGATCAATTTTAACAGTGAATATTTGACAAATTATTTTGCAGAACTTACAGAAAAAGTTTAGCCTCCCTAGTATGCATAAGCAATCACCACTGATGTGCATTGACTATAAGAGTATCAACGTATTACAAATTGCTTAAGCAAAAGAACATCATTGTTCAGAGGCTGTAATAAAGCCCTGAATTATTCAGATAGAATGTCAGTGGGCAATCATGAAAGTTGTAAGGAAGAGATTCCAATAAAACAACTGAGTCATAGCAGTTCTCTCAAGGAAATGGGCCAGAATTCTGGTGAACTCTTGTCAGACGCATTTGTAAAGATATACAACATATTTGAAGTCCGATTTTAAGGACAACCTCAAAAAATTATAAAGTATAGTAAATGCAGTGTTTATGTATACACAGTGTATATCCAAAAGTATTTGCTCACCTTCCTTAACTTGTGTATGAACTTAAATGAAAATGCATTTATTTTAAACCCATGGTGGGCAAGATGATGTTGGTCCTTCCTTCACAGCTATAAGAGCCTAAATCTTCTGGGAACACGGTTGTGTCCACAATGGTTAGAAGTGAGTTTATCAGAATTTCTAACTATTCTTTCACAAGTTCATTGTGAACATTGATGTTGGGCAAAAGGGCTGTTCTCACTATTTGCATTAATGAAACCCAAATGGGTTTAGGTAAGGATTCATTAAAAGCTAGTCAAGCCCTTCTATAACAAACTCTCTCCATGTCGTAATGGACTTTGCTTTGTGCACTGGTGCACAGTCATGTTGGAAAGGGGTGTCTCCTAACTATTGACACAAAGTCGGAATTGAATTATCCAAAATCTCTTAAGATGTTGCAGAATTCAGAGGTATTTTGAGGCTGATGCCAATATTTTCACACCAGTTTAACTAATAACCAATACAGTATGTGTATGTGTATCTGTGGTAATATGAAGTTTTGCAGTTAAGTTAGATATGTTTGTCTTACTATAAGTATTTAAGGGTTGTGGCTGGGGTCTGTGAAACCCTAATGCTTATTAGCAGCAGTCTCTACTGTATCAAGATTGAGGTGCATGGTGGGGCTCATGGTGAATGCTTCATGATGCCCTCACCATGGCAACAAGGCCCATCATCCCACACCAAAAAACATAGTGTTATGTGATATACTGTAGCATGCATTACAGATGAGAGTATGGTGCCCCTCATAAAGTGGGAGCATTTTTGAGAGAAACTGCATCATCCAAGTGCAGCGAGCCCATAACCAGAAATAAGGTGCTGAGATCCCACAAAATAGATAGGATCACAGGCACCCCCTACCCTTCAGCCCCAGATCTCGTTCTTGGCCTTGCCAGGAACAAGGTGAACACAAGGGCTACAAATTAATCTTGAGGTCTCCCAAAGTCAGGAAAAATATTCTGTACAGAATTGCCTAAATTTATGTTTGCTATTAATACTTCTAAAAATCCTTTCTGTCCAACTGCAATAAGAAATACAATCCCTGACAGATTAAGGTACATGTCAGTAAAAAGACTAGTCTTTAGAACTGATTTGGAGGAGTTTAGAGTGTTGCTTTGGACAAAACACCCAATATTGCACTGTGTGTGCCAAATAACAGAAGACACCCCAGCTTGTGACATTAACAAGGCAGGTAAAATACATGCAGTGTTCTGCAGGACATTATCACTACAGATATTATGAAAGATAAATGTGTCAAAGGTTTTACAGCCGGTCGCTGACAGACATTGGAGGAACATGACATATGCATTGAAAAGAGCAAATCTCATTTCAGCACTGACAACAAAAAATTAGAGAATTCATTTCTACCTGTGATATCGTTCCCTCGCACTTTAAGGCAGAGGTTTTCTATAATATCCTCTGGGAAATTTAAGTAGTGCTGAAATGAAGTTATTCATTTTCTGCTTTAGTCAGGGAATCAAAAAGTAATACTGTACTTCATTGGTCTGTTTTTAACATTGAAACTGACTAAAGAGATTCTGCAAAGATGAGCATTCCATCCAGGCATCTTTTTTTATGACAGTCTTTCTTCTCCTGAGAAATTTACAACCAAAGCACCAAGTGAATCAGGGTACTTTTGAGACAGACTTAACACTATTTTGTCAAAGAAACATGGCTAAATAATTGCTAGTTGTGGAAATCCCCAACAGCTGTGTGAACCGTGAGCAGGATGAGAGCAAAAAAATAGCACTTGGCACATTTTAGTTGGATCCTATCTGAGGTCAGTGTCTTCCACAGTTAACTGAGGGACAAACTGCATGTTTAGGTTTTAGCTGTGGGAAGAGTGAAAATTCAAAGAATTTCCTGTTATTACAGAGACTAGAACAAGCAAGGCAAATTTTATGCAGCTTTGGTGCCGATTATGTCTTAAAATCTGCAGGTAATTTATGAGTATTTGATTTAAATGATTGTGAAAACATCAAAATAAAAGAGTAAAATCTCATCAGGAACATTTGTTTTAACACTTAACATCAACACCTTTTTTGGAGGATAACAAAATGAAAATACGTGCTTTAAAACATGCATAATGTCGTGGGTTGGGTATTCATGTAAGACTGCTGTACAAAAAAGTACTATCGCTCTATTCTGGGTTGTGTGGTTTTACCATATGCTCTCATTTACGTTCAACTTTCATCTCCATTTTGGATCTTTACCCACATTAAGCAGAACCACAACCTTCTGATCGCAGTTGTTTTTTGGACATGGGGCCTTTGCTGACAGTCCTGATCAGTTTCAACTGCAGGAGGGCATGGTAGCATAAAGATAATGAGAGATATGGCTAATGTACCATGCACCACTAACATAGCATCATTAATGTCTTACTAGTTCGAGATGAGAAGAAGGACTCAATAAGTTAATGCCACAGAATTATTTTGCAACTAAGCCAGTACATATGGAGGCTTTATGTATAGTGATAATGCCTGTTGAGCTATAACAGCAAAGCTGTAGGCTCAACTAAATGTACACAAAGGATACATTTTTAGAAAAAAATGCTTAAAGATAGTGGAGAATGTTCTTTTTCCGGGTGGATCATCAAAATAAAATTCTGGTGATATGTTTATCTAAGGCCGTCCTACGTGATCGTCCCCATTTTTACTTACCGGTGGTGAGTCTGACATAGTAGAAAAATTGCAAACCTTTTGTAAAGTAAGCTTGTATGAGCGATGCAAACAGCAACTTTTAAACAGAGCGTGCACAAGGAGAAATGGGCTCGTTCATGCTCTTGCATGCGTTTAATAGGCATTCCCTCTCGTGAGTGGGTACAGGGTTGTGCATATGCATTTTTTTTTTAAAGTGGAGGGGGAGGGTCTTCTCAAAAATTCACGAATATCTTCCACTGTACCTTTAAGTTAGCCATTATGTACAAATTTATATTTGATGCTTTCTAAATCATTACAAATTATTGTTCAAATATGGAGCTAGTGACAATTAAATGTTAGAGGTTAAAAGCGCAAATTAGGGTTTTTAAAGTTGCTGTCGGTGACTATTTCTTTTTAATACTGAAATTTTTTTATAAAAAACTAACCTAAGAAGGGATTAAATTAATTAAAGAAACTAATTACACTGAATAAAGTGAGCATAAAAGGAAGTGAGTCATTAAAGATGCTGTCAGTAAACAAGGGTCAAATGGAGGTAGAGGGCAGTTGGCAGAGAAAGAAAAAGGGGTTTCAGAGGAAAGATAGACTTGCAGACATGCAGCTGGTTGCATACAAGGCTCCTGTGTCAGTTTTACTTCAGTGTTTGTGCGAGTGCTTTCAAAGCATTACTGTAGCTGTGGAATCAAAGGAGAGTCCCACTGGTATTCGCAGAGGTGTATGCAACTCCTTAAGGAAAACCTCCTTGACTTTACTATATTCAACAGCAGAATCACAAATCAGAAGATTTGGGAAGAAAAGATAAAAAGTGCACAAACTAGATAATGACTCACTCTCTGAGTAGGGGGTCCGTGGTCATTGAGGTATGTTGATTCTCCTGCACAAAACAAATATAAGCATCCATGTTAGATTATTTTAAAATCTACACACAGAAGAAAAAAACAACACTTAAAAAAGAGGCTTTTAGACTGCTGTGATGACAACTACAGTACATAGAGGATCCTATACATTCAAAACTAGTGTTACAAATCTGAGCAATAAGCAATAACACATGGGTAATAAACCAGTGTCTAAAAAAAACCTTGTGGCAGTAAAATCAAGATCTGTGTTCATTAAAGTTTGAAGCTGCATGTTTTGAGTCGTACAAAAATAATGTACAATAAACTTTTTAGAAGTTTATTGGGAACATAAAAAGAATGGATAACACGAATGGTCAAAACTGTTTAATCAACTCTGAGTAGGTCCATTCGTAACTAGTATGATAAGCAACAGATTCAAGCAATATATTCCAACCCATCGAATTAGAGATATTAAAGCTATTGTGGAGGATTTTTTAAAAGATCTGCCCTCTCCGCTTTAAAAAAAAAAAATTTGCGTGCAAGAGCATGCATGAGCCCATCTCTCCTTGTGCAAACTCTGTTTAAAAGTTGCTGTTCTCACAGCTCATACAAGCTTACTGTGTCCACATACAGCAGGGACTATATAGTAGACTTTAAAGCAAACTCAGTTAAGTGACGGCCCGGACAGATGATCACTGTTTTTTGTTCCGTTGTTCATGTAACTCCTACACCTCCGCACGGTGCCTGCACCATCTTTGTTATTAGTCCATGTGACAAAAAAATCCCAGAATGCTTTGCAAGGAGAGCTCTCCGCAGAAAGCATTTTATGATATATCTGCCTCTTCTTAGGCGTTTCTTTTCTTCTCATATACTTCGTAGACTCTTTTTCTCTTACGATCCTCTGCCATTTTCAAAGAAATTACTTTCTGAAACCATAGCTCATAAAAAAGTGGCTAACAGGGCGAGCAGGTAGGACGGCTTTATGTAAACATATCACCAGCATGATTGACAATTAGTAGCTCCACTTATTTAGATGATCCTCCCAGAAATAAAAGATTGTCACTGTCTGTACATGAAATAACAAATTGGAGAATTTCTTTCAACACAGAGAAACAGCTATACATCTGCAAAGGAGAGGAAGATGGCGAGTTAATGGATAGGTTTATCTGACTTCCACTATGGCAGGCTGTTTTATCATTTATTTGTCACATTTATAGATCAATAAAACAGGATTCTTCAAAGTCAAAATCTATTTGAAAGTTGGAACTGTAATAACAGATTTTCAAAATTGCATTTTTCCAGCAAAAACTGAATTTCAAAAAGTAAAAAAACAAAACAAAACTATATTAAGAATTAGTAGTATAGTGACAATTAAGTTTTATATGTAATATCCTGAATGTGTATTGAGGATATCTGAAATAAATTTTTTAACTGATCAAATTAATGCAAATTATTATTAGGAATATGGAGATCTGTTGTAATCACTATAATATTACGGGGGGAAACTAGTGTACTGGTTGAATAGTAGTGGATGAATGTAAACTATTTCGGTACACTCTCACAGGGGAAAAGGGGTTACGGTAGCTGCACCTTTCAGTAGAGTGAAGATCAGGTATAAAATCTTTGTTCAAACAGGTAGAATCTATGCGTACTCTCATGGGGTTCCTCCTCTTCTGACCCTGTCTTATATTACACAGTAAATACTAAGTGGCTGTTTGACTGTGCTGTTGTTTTCCATAATGCTATTATCACACACATCAATGTGCTCTCATCGATATTATGTTCTTAAGAATATCTGATAAAGAAGTCTGTGTAATGCTGCAAATGTTAGGAACGATGAGGTTGTGGACGTATGTGATGGATTCTGAGGTGAAATGGTAGCACTCATAAAGATAACTTTCTGATTATAAAGGACAGAAGTACATGGTCTGAGAACCATCTCTCTATTTAAACCTCTGTGAATTAATGCCAATCATGCTATGTTTGTGTTTTTAACATCTAATCTGTCTAACTGACCTACTGACTGATTTAACCTTTATTATTCACACAAAACTACAACAAAACTCTCCTGACTAAATCCGGAAATAAAACAACATGATTGGCTTTAAGAAGATGGAGACAGAGGACAACTGAATTTCTGTTACTATAGTAACCGAAACAGAGGTTGAGTAAACTCTATTTGTGAAACAGAATACTTTATCATTGTTCAAATATTTAAATTAGCATGGTAAAAAGAATAAAAAAAGGAACTGTTCTCCTTTTACATATAAAAAAAATCTACTATTTTCTAAAATTCTACTGTTGATTCTACTATTTTCATTGTTGGTTTCAAATTGGAAAATTAATGATACACAGTTAAGCTGCATGTGTCCCATTAGATCACTTGATATAATCGAATGGCACTTAACATTACTAACAATAGCAGACATCATAAAGTTAGGACAACTTGCCTGATTGCAAGACATTTGCTAAAACGTTGACCCATTACAATCCCATTAATTCATCACATAGTTTATCTACAAACACTATCACAGCTGCACTATGCTATTTTCCTGGTGTTTTTTAGTGTATACCGCTGTGGTCTCACTCTGAGCTTTACTGACTTTACTGGCTTTACTGAGCTTTTCTAAGGAATGCAGAGGAAAGGATGTGTTTGCAGGTCTTCTCAGAGGCATTTCAGGTCATAACGTGGGAAAGGACGCCAAAAAGCAGACATCTCTGTTTTTAAGTCTGTGATCCATCACAGGCAACCTCCCCCTGCAAGATCCAGACCAGGGCCACAACCTTAATCAGATCCTCTCACTTTTCTACTCTTCATGCTTCTCATTAGTGTTTTTGGGGGTCATTTTTTCCAGGGTATGAGGCTTGTAAAAGCTGACAGTTGCCCTTTGTCCCCACCTCCTACAGAGTGAGAAAAGGAGCTTAGGCCGCTGTACAGTGCACTGTACTCTCTGACCTCATTGTCCTACATCACTGGGAGTTAGAAAGATAGAGGTAACAAGACTTTTCAACTTTATTATGAAGTGCCATTATCTTAAGATCACAGTTCAGCAGTACATAAAGGTGTGGTTGTTTATGCATCACTTATACCTTAATGAAAAGACATGCACCCAGGACTATTAGCAGTGTATCCATCTGATACAACAAAAATATAACTTAATATTTTGATCTCATCAACTAGTCTTTATAGACAAAGTTGCTTTTGTTTCTGCTGTTTTTGGCCTTGAATAATCTTTGTTGTAGTTTGGCCAGATCACCACCTTCTAAATTTGTTTATGCTACGTTTAACAACACAACAAAAGGGGTCATGGGTAAGTATCTTCTGGTTGAAATTTGGTTTGAAGAGAGCATCAAAATGAAAGTATCCTCTAGGAGGCCCACCCCTTGCAGGGAAGGATGTCAAGGTCATGTGCCAATTCAGCTAAGTGGCAATGTAGGGTAGAGGCCTAGGTATGGTGATTCCTAGCATCAATATGCTGTTCTAAGAATATTTAATCTTCCTTCCTTATTTAAGAAAGGTAACACACTTGTTAAAAAAAGATGTCATAAAATGTGAACAGGTTTTTCTTTTGGTTTCTATTTTGTGTGTGACTCTCAGTGCGTGTGTGTGGAGGTGTGGGTGTGTGTGTGTGTCATTAGGTGATTGACACAGAACCTAACTCGAGAGTGACCATGCATTGGTATGTAGCTAAAAATTAAATTGGATTACTGGGTCACAAGATCCATGGGTTTCAAAGAATCGCTTGTTATCTGAAGCACTAAGTACTTCGCCATAAAACTATAAAAGATTAAAAACAAAACAAAAATTGTGGTAATAATAGGTGATCGTATTAAAAGATTTACAATAAATGTTGCTCGTCAGAGCAGTCAAGAAAGGTTTTAAATAAAGAAACAAATATTATTCATTGCAATTCATTTATTTATACCCCCCCCCCAAGTACTTAAAAAGTACTTTTATATAAATCAAGGTCTGCAAAGTGCCATATGCAATTGAATTACACAATTTAAGAAAAGAAAATTAAACAAAGTTCAAAACAGATAATCTTTTTAGGATAGCAAAGGTAAATTTAATTAAAGTTTGTTTTAAGTAGATTATTGAACTCAGAAAGAGAATAAGCCTTTCTAACATGCAAGGCTAGATCATTGCAAAACTTCTATAGCAGCTATGGCAAACGCTCCTATCACCTCTGTTATTGCTTGTTTTTTTTTTTTTGTTTTTTTTTTTAGATTATAGTGTATAAACATGGCAAATATATAGCCAATCTTTTGCTGAATCATTTTTGATAAATATATCACACTGACTTTGTCCCAACCCTTAGGTTCTGGAATTTTCCTTCTGCTCTGTCTCTTTGAAGGGAATGCAACAGCAAGTTTGGGAATTTCATAAACATGTATTTAAAGCATAGACCATTTCATTTGCTTTGTAAAACAGCCTAAGTATGGTTTAGGAAAGCACACATCCAAGAATAGTCCGAGGTGGGAGCGGAAAACCACACAGAAATGTCTCTCGAGAGAATGTCCAAAAGAATTGGCAAACGGTTTGAAGTTGACAAACCTTAGCTCTCTTTACAGGACATAAGTCAAGGTGAGGATGGAAACTTACAGACATGCTATCATGAAATGTTCAACAAGCATACAGTATGAAACCAGATTACAGGTTCGTCTTGAAGACTAAACTCTCTCATCTATAACCACACACTGCCATAATTTTGAACACCACAAAAAAAAGATGAAGTTGTGATGGATGGTGGATATACTTCAGGTATCTGAAGCTTTATTACTTTTATTTCCGAATGTACAAAAAGATCAAGTGCCAATTTGCACTAGAGCCAAGAGGCCCACCGTTCCTGCCCAGTGCATCTGTATAAATCAGTCCCATTCAGACTCAGACACATGTCTATGGTTACAGTCCTCACTAAACATTTTTACCACAACAGACAGCATACACAAACACAGTCACTGTGCATGGGTTACATACACAACACATTTTGCTTTATGTGTGTGTGTGTGTTTATGCAATATGTGTGTGTGGTCACAGCGTCCTTTGATTTGGTGTGTGGGAGTGGCCCACCATTAAGACACATAGCTCAGCCCATTGCTTTAATTACAGAAGGGAGCATGGTTGAGTCAGGGGCAACACCCCACTATGCCTTGCTCTACATCACCCTCCAGTCAGTGAAGAACAAACAATGTTCAAATATCTCTGCAGCACAAATAAAGGCTGTTCCATTGATATGTTATTGCAGGTGCCTCTGCCCTTAAACCTGATAGGAAGACTAATTTGGGGACCTGATGCTCAACCCTAAATTTTGGTTTCTAAGATGTAGTAGCAAGGACTTAGACTCACATACAACCACATGTGTGGGGCTTGATATGTCATTAGTGGACACCGGTAGTTTCCACCATACAAACTGTATGACAAGTATGTGCTGCAAAACTGATGACCCAGCAAAGGAAGTGTTGACTTAGCTGGTTGCAAAGCCACTAGACAGGTCAGAAATAGACAGGAGAAAAGTTTCAAAATGCCTCAGTGCCTTTGAGATTTAAGGAAAGCACCAAATGTTCTTGTGAATTAAAACATTTAAGAAAGAATCACACATATATTAAATAGCTCAATATTTTTTTTTACTATTTCTTATTCCCCTCAGGATATAATAATAATTTGCTGTGAATAATCTATGAGATACAAAAATAAATGTCAAGGTTAAACTATTACACGTGTCTCCAAGGTGGTAAATGTATAATGATGTAAATGTGGACAATTGAAGGATTTCTTTTGACCTTTCTAACAGCTGATTTGACATTGTTAAGTGTGAAATTATACAGAATTATAATTATGACTAATGTCTCTGAAATCAGTATTAGTCTAGCCTGATAAGCCAATTAAAACGCCTGTTAAGCCTGAACAACAACACATCTTTATCAGGAAATAAACCAGACTGTTTAAAGTGGATGCCATGAAAGTCAGTCTGTTCACATCTTTTTATTAATTCTGGCCTTTATTTTAAACTTGAATCAACATGGGACTGAGGTGTTTCTGTCTGAATTGAGCTCCCCCAGATGTGGCTATGGACGTAATAGAATCAAATTAGCTTATTGCAGTAAATTGGAAGGATATGTTGGTGACTTTTTGCCTATAGTCAGAAAAAAAAGAGGAGATCACCCTTGTTTTTTCTTTTTTGGACATAGCATACTTCATACTTCTAATATACCTTTAAAACACAACGTCGAAGCAGAACAAGGATGGTCTGATAACTTTTTTATCACTGAGCTGTAAACAATGTTTCTATTGTCATATTAAAACAAAACCATTAGGTAGTGATAAAAAAAAAAAAACATCTTATAGGTTCTACCAACTGATTAAGCAATTATTCCTTAGAGTGTGACCGCAAACGTTCATGTGTCACAGAGTGCTTCCGGTTAATCAAAAATGTAAAGAAACATTATTAGGGAACAGAGCCAAGTTCAATTATATAACAAAAATAAACAAAGCATGAATGCAGCATCAGAGTGTACTTTATGTGTGAGGAATGGTTGTTGTTGTTTTTTTGTTTTATCCTTGCTGCTTTTATGTTGGTGTGTTTTATTTTTGTATTCTTTTAATTGTGATCTGTGGACTGGAGACATTTTTTAAAGATATTGTTTTACTGTTATAATGCGGTAAAGAATAATCTATTCTAATACGGTTTCAACTTTCCATCAGCTGAAAAGATAATACTTGGTTGTTGTGTGTAACAGTACTGATATAGTCCTGGTTGATCTGAATTGTTAAGAATATCTCTAAGGTGGTTCCAAACACCTACTGGTTTAAATGTGGGAAATGGAGGAAAACACATTTTTAAGTTTCTACCAATTTATTTGTCAATATTAGTCTGATAAATGGGGCAGATACTGATGTGCATCGCGGTGCCTCTAACTGGCCAGTAAAACTCTAAATGGTGAACAGCAGGGGATCGACAGGAACATAATCTATTAGAGCTGATTGAATAAAAAAGATGTTTGAGGTTAGGGATGACTGCACAACTTGTCACACATTAAATTACCTCATTAGCTGGGCATATGATGGTTTGCTTTTAACATGAGATAAGATGGTGGATTTATGTAACTATGATATTTGCACTTTGCTTGTCTTATGGGAGTTCCCCAAAGCGCCTGAGAAACATAACTCACTGTTTAAAAATTGTTATAACTATGTTTTCTTAAAGTGTCGATCTAAACTTTTCTTTCTAGATTTTACACCAAGTACAGAGATCTATGTTAACTTAGCATTCATCTGGTATATTGAGGTAAATAAGCATTTTATGAGATTGAATGTAGAGGCATGACGAATGAAATTAAGTGAGGCTACTATTCAATATAAACCAGGAAAGATTTTTTTCCATAAAAAAGGTAAATAAAAGTTTCAAGTATTGATAATAAGATTCAACTAGAAATAATTCCTTAAATAGTGTCAGAGCAGAAATAGAAAAGCAATACTGTACAAATCAGATAATATGACTTGATTTCTGGTAAACTGAAAGCCCAGTCAGCTTATTTTTAACAAGTCACTTCCTTCCAATAAGCACCAGAGTGCTTTTGCAATTTTTACGTACCTTGTCTTGCCTTTTGGTCATGTGGACACGACACCAGATGCCTTTCTACCCTGTCCTTATGGATAATGAGCCTGCTGGTAGCCCTTTTGCCTGACCAATGACTTTTCCAACTCAACCCTACAAAAGAAGTCAAATGGAGGGGACCTTTTAAATCTGTCTTCAAGATTTTGTAAAAATTTAGGATAAGTTGTAGGTCATATTGCAAAACATCTAAATATACAGTAAACAAGGTATACGATTTTATTTTTGTATTTTTGCCAACAATCCAGTTATTTCTATGGAAAATTAGCACATTTTTGACATACATTTTTAGAGGCTTACAACTATGATAATATCAATTATTTTTCTTTAGGTACTCTTCAGCTGCAAAAATTAAATTACAAAGCAGATGAGTAATAGCCTAGCCTGTTTCGCACTGCTAATTACTGCTGCTATTAATATTGTGTATTACAAAAAATATTGGATTGTCTTTGTTATATTTGTGTGGAATTTACATGTCACACACAGCATTATCTATTTAGTGTGTTTTCTTTTTTAACTTTTACACCACTGCAGGCTAAATGCATATTATTTTACATTAAGTCTGAGAAATGCGTATCACAAAGAACTCCCAGGACTATTTATTAGCTAATAATCTCTCTATGCATGGATAACAGCCACTTTTATTATGACACAAATTATGCTTAAGAAGGTAACAGGTAGTAAGGTGGTAAAGTAAAATAAACCACGGTAGAACTGTTTCAGTACCGAAAGTGCAGGCAACAGAGGCAGTTGCACCATAATAGGAAAACCGTCATTTCCTGATAATTAGAAAAGAAAAACTAAAAATTACTCATTATCTAGGGTCTATGATAGCAATGCACCCAAAAAAGAAAGATACCAAAACTTAGTTTTTTAAATTATCTTCAGACATTTTATGAGGCCAAAATTAAATTATATCACAAATTGAATGTTTTCCTGTTATTGTGCAGCCCTAGCTGACATAACCTTTGATACTTGATAGATAATCCTTTTCTAGTGGGTTTTAGTACCATGTTGTGATGATCTTTTTTCCTTTAGAACATTTGGTGACAAAGGAAGTGTATAGACAAGTGAAGCTTGGAAAGTTTAATAACAAGTAATGGCTCATTGCATATACAAAGCAAGATGTACAAACTTATGTCCAAACTCTTACAATTTAATAGATTTGACAGTAAAGTTCTGAGTAGGACAGGGAAATTAATTGATTTGCATTATGATTCCAATTTAAAAAAGTTTTCAAATCACAGAGGCCTCTGTTTTGGTCACATTTATTTAACAAAAATATGACACTAGCTTTCTCCTTCTAAGCCTTTATGTGGCAATATGCTTAAAGCTCTATGGTAATTTTTAACCACCTAATATCTGACTGAACCTCATGAACATAAACCTCTCCCCCTCCAACAACATGGCTGTCATACTACGAAATGGCTTCTGCAACATCTGCATCACCTATCTTGTGAAGTAATGCTGAGGTTTGCTTACATTAATAATTTGAAAAAATATTATTTTATTAGTATGTAGGATTGTATAGGCCTTACATGCCACAGTCACATTGTAATGGTGATCTCTACGGTCACTAGTTTGTCAGCTCTGTGCCGACATAGTGCAAAGATGTCTGCCTCTGCAATTGCGAACCCGAACCTTACGGACAAAGATAAAGATTGAGACTTTCAATTGGTGGGTGATAATAAATGACATACTTATGTACAATATAAAATTTAGGCAAAAAAGCATTTTATTGCTGATACTTTCTGTCAACAAAATGTTTCTACTTTAGAATCAAATTTGAGTTTTCCTGCTTTTGAAGACTTAACTGATAATTACAGAGGAATATCTTATGATCAAGAAAGGAATAGACCAAGATAAAAAAAAATCATGGCTACTGTAGAACCTGACATATCCCTAACAACAAACTATTGTGTTAATAAAGGTATTTTATTGCGGTAGTGTTATAACCATAAAAATTACATTTAAAATAAGCACCGCAGTCATAGTGAAAGAAGGCTCTGTTTGAAGTCAAACAAAAGTAAAAGAAGAAGTAACTCTTGTGTAATCATCCTCCTGTAATGGTACCTTAGTCCCCCTGAGCTTGGATAAAGCTTAGTTAGTTTCTTTTATATATATTTTTTCAAAAGCTTATTTTTTGGTGTATAAAGATTTTTGAAATGTTTGCTTCATTTCACAGCGTTTATCTTGTACAATTGCTTACCCAATGGTCTATGTAGAGCCAGAAGCTGACCTAAAAGTTGTATGTTGACTGTAAGACATGGATACTTGCCAAATCCCCCGCATGTACTGACATCTATTATAAGCTGTAAAAAAAATAGCCTTTTTTTCTCAGCTGAAAAGATGAAACAGCCAGCATCCAAATCCAGCCTTTTACCATTTGGTGGCAATACAGCAAAATAATGACTGAGGCATTTCATAGAAATAATTAGGAAGCCATAAAAGTTGCAGTTTCTTGGCAATTACCTTTAAAGTTTGTGAGAAACCCCTGCTGCTGCATGTCAATTTCTCACTTAGTTACCTTATGTGTCCTTGTATTCTAGCCCTAAGCTTTATGTTTGTTTTAGGTTTTATGCTTGAACATGCATGCAGCCACAGAGGACCCTGGAATCAGCTAAAGGATCCCAGGTTTGACTTTGCAACTGAGCAAACTGGGGGTATGTACAAATGTAAGTTTTCAAATAAATTTTAAACAAGTAATGAAAAATTGCCTCATTAAGTGAATATCAGATTTTGTCCCCCCTTAGTTACAATTTCTCTACAGTATTGAAAAAAAATATGGTTCACATCATTGCAAAATCATCTTTCTTTTAAACTCATTTGAAGACTGATTATCCTCACTTATGTTTGCTGAATTCTATTTTAATAGACATTAGTTACATTATTTATGTCAAGGGATTTAAGACAGTTAATCAATGATTTAATAAGGAATGACACTTTTTACACGGATTGTAAGACCTAAAATTTAAAAAAATTATACTTTTTAGAATGAATTTTGGTTACCATTGTATGACAAAAAGGTCCATAGGAATGCCTAAAACATTGAAAAGAACTAAAGCTGAAAGGGTGTAAAAATATTTTTCACATTTGGCTATTATTCTTATTAGCTTTATTGGTAGCTTTAAGAAATGCTGATTGACTAAAATTTTGAGAGGTTTTTTTTTCTTACAATCATGTTTACCAATCCTTCAAACGGTTTAGTCTGTTACTTGCCCTGGTTACATAAACTTGAGTGTATGTATGAATTTTATAAAAGCAAGATTTAGATAGAGAGGAGACTGTAAACAGACACAACTTTTACTCAGAAATGCAAATCAGTTTATTCACATTAAAAAAATTTCAAAACTGCAAATCTTCTCCTTCCTTGTATGGTTCTAAAGATAATTAAGTCTTTATGTTTGCAAGGTAACATCAACAGACAAATACTCCACTGTAAACTGGGAGACTGAATTTGTAGAGAATGCTCTCAAAGTGGAAAGTTCCAGCACAATAACCAAAAAGAGATCAGAGACTAATATATGTGATTAGTAAAACTTAACAGCTCACAGCCTTTTCCTGTGACAAAAAAAAAAAAAAACATATCTGGGAAGGCGGCTGTGGTGCAGCATGCTGAGGAAATGTAAAGGAAGGAAGTTGGACAGAGATAGAAAGTAAGGGGAAACAAATTGTTATCTAATCACAGTTTGATTCCTCTACAGAGGTCAGGAGAAGATGAACTGCCACATCAGGAAGTTTGATTGATTGAAAGATAATGATTTTACCAGAAACAGTAGATCCATGAAACGATACATAAATGAAGCAATTTATGCAGTTGGTGATATGAGAAAACATTTAAGAAATGATTTTCTTCCGTGCAGATGGAGCAACCTAATATGAAAGCCATTTCATGCAAGTTAAGATCAATGATGATTAACAGCTGTAATGATAAAAGATTTAAAAAAAATGGCTCTTTGGTTTATGGAATTTTACAGACTGCTGAAAGGAAGTGTTGGCCAAGAGCCTCAGACAGCTGTGAGAAAACTCCTTGTTTTCCTGTTTGATGGCAGGAGATGCATAGCTTTCTTAGCTTGCTGTTTAAGGCCCTAAAAGCACTTTGATTGCAGCAAACTATGCCCATTTACCAAGCTGTTTGCAACATTCAAACTCAGAGCTTTTCCCTTTTTAATATCATTATTTTTCTGCAGAAGTCGTGCACATAGTAAGATTCTGCAACCCAAAAAGCATGGGATGACACTGCAGCTCGGTCCTGCAGAACAAACGCAGCATAAAGGGAGTCTGTATGGTGCTAAGTCTCACACTGAACTGAGGAACAGAAAAAAGTGAGCAAAAGAAGAAAAAAGAACAGAAAGAGTAGGTCAGGAAAAAAGACTGAGAGCAATTTATTTTTATCAGGTTATTTAAATATGGGGGGAACTGGACACAAAACTAAATAGCATGACGATATAAAGCAAAGTACCTATGGCAGAATGAGGTTGTAGTAGTAAAAAATATTCTGATAGCCTTGCCAAAACTGAGATTGTGTCATAAAATTTTTCCAAACTTAAAAGAAAGAGAAAGTTCCATAGAATGAGTTCCAGCTGAAATATGCTACAGTGTTTGTCTTTCATTAGGAAACCCTGTTCTAGTCTCTGCGCTGTTGTTCTACTGCAGTGAGGTGTGATTTCAGCCCGTTTGGTTTGTTACACATAAAGTCCAGTAATATTAAATGTTTGTTTTTTTCTTAACAAAACAAAAAATCTTTAATTTTCTGAAGGACAGACCTTAACAGAAATCATAATAGATATTTTTTGTCAGGGCTCCTGTCTGTGTGTTTTGTTTTTGTTTGTCTCCCTTCCACCAACAGCAGGCGCCTGGTTCCGGTTCGCCTCCTCACACACCTGCTGACGGTTACCTCATTAACGGAGTGCTCTTAAGCTGCTGATTGCCAGTACCTCGACGCCAGGGTGTTTGCCAGTTTTTGGTACTCTAGCCAAGCTGAGTTTTCTCTGAGTAAGACTGAGTTCTTGTCTCCCTGAGTTTTAACTTTGTTTTTTTTTTTTTGCTCTTTGGCGGGAGTTCTTCTTGCAACTTGGCCTTTTTGGGCCTTCTTT